AACAAAATTAGAAGTTATAGGACAGGGAGAACCAAGATGGCGGCATAGGTAAACACCGGAGACTGCTGCCGCAAACAACCACTTCAAAAATACAACTAAAAGAAGGAACAGACATCACCCAGAACCACAGGAAAGCTGGCTGAGGAGAGACTCTTCAACTAGAAGGAAAGAGAACAGCAAACCGAGGCTCAGAGGAGGCGCAGTGTGGAAAATACAAAGGTACCAAGGTGCGCACGCAAAGCGGGCTGGTGGCTGAGGGCGCAGTTGTCGTTTTCAGTCCGGAGGGAGTCTCAGGCTCTGAGCTCCAGATCCGGGCGAGTCTCTAGGGACTCAGACTCAGACGGGAGAAGCAGGATTGTCCGGCATCAGTTGGAATCTGAGGGCAGCTTTCTCTCCGAGGTTTGCAGCGGCTGCCGGGGTTCTGAGAAGCAGAGCCTCTGGGAACGGGACTGAGAGCAGCCATAACTGCTCTCTCCGCCCGCCCTGTTGATCCCGCCCCGCCCAAGCCCTGTGGATCCTGCCCCGCCCAAGCCCTGCGCAGAGCCATTTGCCGGATCGCCTCAGGCAAAGGCTAGATTAGCACCTCCCCAGAGGACAGAAGTTTTCCACACAGCTGATTCTCACAGCCAGTCAGCCTGGTGGTCAAATCCCTCTAGTATTAACTACAATAATCAAGGCTTAACTAGAACAAGACTGTGCACAAAGACCACAAGGGGGTGCACCAAGAAAGCATAAAAAATGCGGAGACAAAAAAACATGACAGAAATGGAGGATATAGAGCTAAAAAACGCAATTTTGAGGGCTTGCAAGAAACTTGAGGAGAGCCTCACAAAAACTAATGAGACCCTCGATGCTACGATAAAGAAACTAGAAATTAAGCATACACGGACTGAAATAAAGAATATTATACCCAATAGCAGACCAGAGGAGCGCAAGAATCAAGCCAAAGATTTGAAATTCGAAGAAGCTAAAAACACCCAACCGGAAAAGCAAAATGAAAAAAGAATCCGAAAGTGTGAAGATAGTGTAAGGAGCCTCTGGGACAGCTTCAAGCGGACTAATATCAGAATTATTGGGGTGCCAGAAGATGAGAGACAGCAAGATATTGAAAACCTATTTGAAGAAATAATGGCAGAAAACTTCCCCCACCTGGTAAAAGAAATGGACTTACAGGTCCAAGAAGCGCAGAGAACCCCAAACAAAAGGAATCCAAAGAGGACCACACCAAGACACATCATCATTAAAATGCCAAGAGCAAAAGACAAAGAGAGAATCTTAAAAGCAGCAAGAGAAAGAGACTCAATTACCTACAAGGGAATACCCATACGACTGTCAGCTGATTTCTCAACAGAAACTTTGCAGGCCAGAAGGGAATGGCAAGAAATATTCGAAGTGCTGAATACCAAGAACCTACAACCAAGATTACTTTATCCAGCAAAGCTATCATTCAGAATTGAAGGTCAGATAAAGAGCTTCACAGATAAGGAAAAGCTAAAGGAGTTCATCACCACTAAACCAGTATTATACGAAATGCTGAAAGGTATCCTTTAAGAAGAGGAAGAAGAAAAAGGTAAAGATACAAATTGTGAACAACAAACATGCATCTATCAACAAGTGAATCTAAGAATCAAGTGAATAAATAATCTGATGTACAGAATGAACTGGTGATTATAATGAATCAGGGACATAGAAAGGGAATGGACTGACTATTCTCGGGGGGGAAAGGGGAATGGGAGATGCGGGAAGAGACTGGACAAAAATCGTGCACCTATGGATGAGGACAGTGGGTGGGGAGTGAGGGCGGAGGGTGGGGCGGGAACTGGGAGGAGGGGAGTTATGGGGGGGAAAAAAAGAGGAACAAATGTAATCTGAACAATAAAGATTTAATAAATTAAAAAAAAAGAAGTTATAGGACAAATATTGGTGGGGTTTTTTGGTATGTTTTAAAATAAAAAAATACTACAGACAAATTATATTTTTCAATGCAAATGTTTCGTTAGGAGAGTAAGGATACTAATGAATTTCCAAATACAGCATTTCATTTGCTATCAAACACTGCTCGAAATATAGGGAGCTTGGAAAACTGTAGCAGTAGTATTTAAAATCATTGTTTACAATCTCCATGATTTTGGAAAACTTAAAGATTAGCCTTTAATGGATTATAAGGGATAGGAGTATTTATTTTTTAAATAAAAAATGTTTTTCATGTTATATATGCAATACAAGCAAATTTTGGAAAATATGAAAGAAAAATATCTATTGTACCATCAACCATTACAACCATCATTAAACTTCTAAGGCATTTTATTCCAGTCTTTCAATATGCATAGTTTGTTTTTCAATCTATACAGAGTGGGGCAAAAATAGGTTTACAGCTGTTCATATGGAAAATAATACAGTAATTAATAAATAATATAAGAATAAACTGTGTTTCAGATACTCAAAACTGTAAACCTACTTTTGCTCCACCATGTATATAGCCATTGTGCCATTTATACAACTTGTATAAAGGCAGATCATCACTGCATGGTAACATTGTCTTTGTCCAAAACTATATTTTAAATCTTCTACAAAATGTAAGTCAATCAAAATTATTACACATCATAGCTACTCTAACAAAAATATATAATCTTTGTTCATGTTCATAGAATATTGTATAATTATGTACATTTCTAACTAACTATATGCTTATATATACTAATCATACCATATGTGTATGGTATGAAATGTCTATGGCTCTACATCTGTATGCATCTCTAATTAAATCAACATTTTTTAAATTACTTACCATTATTGTTGTTCTCTAAAAGTATCCTAAAATGAATCCAACTATTTTTTTTATTGATTGACTTGAGAGAGAAGAGAGAGAGAGAGAGAGAGAGAGAGAGAGAGAGAGAGAGAGAGAGGGGGAGAGAGAGAGAGAGAGAGAGAGAGAGAGAAAGGAAAGAGAGCGAAACATCGATTTGTTGTGCCACTTAATTATGCATTCACTGGTTGATTCTTGTATGGACCCTGATGGGAGTCAACCCCACAACCTTGGTGTATGGGGATGTTGCTCTGAATAACTGAACTACCCGGCTAGGGCTCCAACTATTTTTTATTTTTAGCTGAGATAAGTGCTCTCAAAATTGCTATTATTTTCCCTCTGCAGTCTACTGAAATGTTGGCAGCTTAACATATTCTGGATTTAGTAATTCATCATATTTTCTTGATTGGAATGATCGCTCAGCAAGACAATATGCATTTGGAAAATACTGATTATGTTTAATAAAAAGTGAATGGATGTCAAAGAACAGTCTGCTCTGCCTAATGAGGCTTTAGAGATTAAGTCTAATTATCACTGATACAAAACTAAAAATCCATTATGTATTATTGAACAACAATTAGCTTTGTTCTCAGAACAAAAATCTATTGATCTGAAAACCATAAAGCTATCTTTGGCATAAACAACTAAGGATTTGATAACACAAACCAAAAGATTACAAATTTAAAGAATTTATAAGTAAAGTTATTACTACCTTCTAAAATGCTTTGTGACTAAAAAACGATTCATTATATATGTAGTATGCAAAATACCACTGTGGTTCTAAAATTCTGAGAATCTGGTGACAGAGTAAGTCTGAAATGTAAATTTTTTAAAATTTAAAACAGAAAAATATAGAATATATTTTCATAAAGAAGACAAACCTCAGATAAATAGATTTTGGCATTTTAAAATTACCAGCAAAGAGAGAAGTCAATTTCAACATAATTTGTTCCTTAAAAAGTATTGAACAATGAAAAATAGGTTATAAAATGAACGCAAAAGAACATTGTTAGGAACCTCGAGTTCTAGTTATGTCCTGCCAGTTTGAGGCTGTGTGATCTTGGAAAATTTCCTTAATCTTTGAACTCTCAAAACATACCTCTTGCAGAATGAGTAAGGTCTTTTTTGTTTCTATGACTAGAAAACTAGAGGGTAAGGTAGAAAGGAAAAGCCTGCCTATCCACAGTAGGAAAAAATCCTGTATGTGCACTATAATGGGCCAAAAGGAAAAAAATATCAACTTCAGTTGGCTGAGCATTTTAACCTTTTGAAACATTTTTATGCATATGATATCATTTTAACCTCACATAATCCTATGAAGCAGAAATAAAATTATTAGTCTCTATTTTGCAGATAAAAAAAATAGAAGGAAAGGGGGACACTGTTTGTTGTTTGAAATCACAAAACCATTTCATAGATTAACACGAATCTAGGTCTTCTCACTCCTTAATCAAGATTTGTTTCAATGGAACGGATAAAGTTAAAGGGAAAAATAAGCATATTCAGCTGAATCCAAGTATGAAAAAAGGCAAAACATTAAAGAGAAAATAAAGGAAATGAAGTCTCTGTAGTAGGTTCTTCATTCTGATTAATGAGGTTGTATATTTAACCCTCAAGCTCAAAGGGAGCTGTCACTACAGAACTGTGTTAAATTAATTTAAAAAATTCAATTTTTGCATAAGCAGAGGTTTTACTTACCTAATATTAAGCAAATCTGCACCCCCTACTCCCAAAAATTACCCAAATTGTGAAAATGGATCATGTAGCATGTCATAAGCAAATGGTAAGATCCTTCCAAAAACTAAGACATATTTGTCCTCTTTTGATGTGACTTATAACATGTTTTTCCTATTCAAATTAATTTTTAGAAAATGTTTACCTTCCAGGGAACTAATGCTTTCCTATATTTCACATGAACATGCAGATACTTTTATACCTGTATAAACTGTAAAATTACTGACAGAATTAACAAACAGGAAAAAGTTTATATAAGAAATTTTGAAAAAGACATCTATTATGTCAAAGCTCCTTGCTACTGAAACAGTAAACTGAGTAGTTTGAGTGTTGAGTGTTTACCACAAAGAAGTATGTACAGCTATACCAATGAACTAACAGAGTGTAGTGAAATTTAATTCATTAAGGTTATGGTACTACTTTTTTGGTTCAAAGACTATACTTTTTAAAAAGTGGATACCTGCGGTCCATCTCTGGCTTCATAGAAGTCACCCACTCTTATTTTTGCACTGAAGCTGAAATTGTCCCTTGAGATATCCATTATTCCATTTCTGCTGAGATACTGAAAAAATCACATATTTTTCCACTTCAGGTTTTAATAATGACAACCCAGCTTTGATGTATAGCTATCTTCAGAACACTAATGTTTTGCATATTCTATCAAGGGCTATGGATTTATAGGAGTTCAATTTAGGTTAAGTACATTAGTCCCAAACACAGAACATTTTGCATCAAGGAACTTATCTGAGAGAGGAGTGTACTATTTTTTTTCCATAAGCATGCATAATAGGCACCAAATGTGTGTTATTTGGTGAAAAGTATGTACCTTTATTACTTCAGGGTACTGCCTAAGTTTCTTTCCACATGGAGCATAATATGCTACTTCTCCTTGAAGGCGCCCTCCAAAGTTTCTTATTCTTGTCTCCCTCTGCCAGCTATGCATAACAGAAATGAGAATTATAACATACTTAATTTAAAAAACTTTTAAAAACTAAAAAATAATTTAAGAATACATGCTCTTTAGAAAATGTGAAAAATGCAAAAGAAAACAAATATTAAACCCCCTGATTATACAACTGAAATATATTTGCTATTAAAATTATTTTAATTTTTAGGTATGTAATTCAATTGAAATTAATCAAAGACTCGAGTTATAAATATGAAACTCCATTAAATTTTTTAGAAATCTTAACTAGAATTACTTTGAGGCATATTCAATAGCATGTGTCAATGAGTACTGACTTTTTACATCTCAAAAGCTTTAATTGAGAGGAGGACAGTAAACCTGGCTCTCTGCTCTTGGAGAGTCATGTACTGGAAGCTGTTCAGTTCCATGTAAAACTGCTCAGTTCCAATTAAACCATTTTAGAAAAACTCTGGCCAAGTCCCTCAGCCTTACAATGGCTTTCCCTGCCCTTAAATTCTATCTTCACAAAATCTCTGACATTCTTAATTGCACCCCTTCCCTTTGCCAAATGATTTGCTCTTGCTTCTTTTTCAGTCATATTCCCACCTGGATGCATGTTCCCATCACAGCTCTGTCATATCTAAACATAGCAGTTACCCTTAATTTCAGTTTTCTGATATATCATCTTACTTGCCTTTCATTCTAGCTCTTCTCTAATAAATACTTTGCAGTATATTCACTTTATTAATAGTATAGAATATGAAATCAAACATGCATAAATATGTGTGGGAAAAGCAAAAAGGGAAATCTCATTTTCCATACCCATATTCCAAAGGAATACGCAGTTCGCGTTCATCTGTTACTCTTCTTCTTTTGGAAGTGCCTTCAAGAAAATTCATCCAGTTAACATAAAAGACTAGTTTACGCAGATGACATTTTTTTGATAGTTTTGAAGCTCCTCTTTAAATAAAAGATCTTAATGGCTTGGATTATTAGTGTTGTTCTGCAACTTATACATTATTTTTAGATAGTTCAACAAAACACATTGTATAAAGTAGAGGGTTTCTTTGGTCTGCATGACAAAAACTAGTCTTTCTCTCCAAAGAGAATACAAGGCAAGGTAAAAATATATAGCGTTCCTCTGATTTCGTTGTTTAAACATGGCTAAAGTAGTAGTCAAGTTTCAGGAAACTATATACTGTTGTTTTCTTTGAAAATTAGTTTTAAGATGCTGATAAATTCCAACTCCTGGCTCACCCATTTAAAAGTAATATAATGTCTATGTTCATATAAATCCATATTTCAGTCATATTCCCGCCGGGATGCATGACCCCATCATAGTTCTGTCATATCTAAACACAGCAGTTACCCTTAATTTCAGTTTTCTGATATATCATCTTACTTGCCTTTCATTATAGCTCTTCAGTGGGAATATGACTGAAACATTAAAAAACACTAGTAGGTCTTTTAATTGAAGTACAAAGAAATCAGATTATGATTACATGTAAAATGATTTATAGATGACGACCAAGTTTCACAAATACAAATACATACATTTTAATTAGTTGGATATCATATTGGCATGTGGCAAATGGAAGCAAAACTAGAAATTTCTAAGAAAAGAGTGAAGTAAGTAAAACGTAGTATTTCACTATATGCCTCTATATCTTCTTAGCTATTGAAATGAGAATAGAGAATAGTTTTGGAATGTTAATGTAAAAACTTTTAATGAAGACCTCTAGAAGTTTATAAAAGGTCAAATAGAAAAATACAGATGTGGTGTGTTAATGGAATATTAATGCTACTCACTAATACAAATGACTGGCGATGTGTTGGGCAGATATGCAATTGAATCTTAAGTAACCAAGAGAGCTCATTTTTATAAAGTACAAAAAAGTCCACTGTCAATCAAATACTAAGTTGTAGAAGCATAAACTAAACACAGAAGCAGGAAAGTATTCAAAATTAAGAGCTGTCATTAAGCAGGTTCTAAAACTGTAAGCACAGAGAATAAAAATGGAAATGGGTCATATCCTTTGAAAATACATGCTGACCTTTCTTAGCCAACCTAACTCTAAGCTGAACACTCGATTCCAATGAGATCATCCTCAGACCACTGTATAAATAAGAATTCTTGCTATGGTTTGCCTTCTACTTTACAATAATAAAAATAAAGTGTAGGTACCAGAGTGTGGACTTGAAGTAAGTGTGGAAGAAGGTGTGCCAAGAAAAGCAGGTGACTGGGATTCAGAACATAAGGCAGCAGGAGCAGAGCCTGGGGCTTTTGCTATGTGGAGGTTACGAGGTGTTGAGTGAGCTGTGAGACTGATGGAAGGGCTTTTGACAGAGGAAGCTGTTTTATTCAGTTTCATTGAAGTTTTCTCTCCTTCAGTATCACTATCTGATTCATCTTGGTCTTTATCATCATCATCATCTTCTTCTGATCCTTCTGTATCTGATTCTGAATTACTATCTGATTCTGGGAAGTAAAAGAAGCATTTGTATATTATAACTAGATCATCACCAACAATTTGCAGTTTGTACCTAAATGGAATAGTTCAGGAACCAGCATCTGTGAATAAGAACTCAAATGAGCATCTTCCTGAAGCTTAAATGTAAAAATTACTACCTGGCAAGCTATATGAGTACAATGTTCGCAGGCTATAAATCCTCAATATTCTTCATTAAAGTATCCATTTTACTCTCAAAACTTTACTCATAAAATAGGTCTCCTCATATGACCCTATTCACGGTATGAGTTTTGCTTAGTGGCTTTAAATCACTTTTAACTTAATGGAGAAACTAAAGTGTAGAGGGAATCAAATTGATTATTTAAATTAATACATCTCAATAGCTTAAGAATCGTAGTTCACTATGAGGAAGAGCAGATTGGGACTACCATCACCTTTTCATCTGCACTTTGAGATGAAAGAAAATAATTTTCTGAAGGAGATTCCTGGCTTTTTTGGCTGCAGTTATTCTATGTAGGTGTTAGGACTCCATCATGCTTCTCAGGCTTCACAAAAGACTGGGATTACTAACACAACTGTGGGGGGTAATTTAATATTTAATAATTACAGTTTGTTCTAGCAATGTCGTCCTATAAATGCATCCATTCCTACAGGTATGTAAAATCTATTCCTGGATTAAACTTGATAAACATAGGACTGATATTTGTACTGTATCTTAATGGCTTCTGGAACAACAGCTTTTGTGGAATTGTGTTTTGTGTAGTATTATTTGTCTACATTAAAGTTCATTATGAAGCTGTCTTTGAAAGATGTTAATACTGGCATTCATTATCTACCATGCAAAGTTGTGTTTATGGGAACACCAGAAAAAACATTACAGGAAAAGATGTTCTTGCCCTGAGCAAGTAGCTGTTTTTACCTCATAAATACTTTACCTTGTATAACTGACTATATTTCCCTATTCATATTGGTGACTAGCAAATTTACAACTGGATTTGTGACTGACCAGTAACAAATCCAAAACTTTGATAATATATATTTCATCTTTAAATTTAAATTTTAAGCTATCTTATATTTTCAATCTTCTGTGGAACAGGAAGGAAAGTTAAGGATAGAAAAATAAAAAGAAGCTAACAAAGAACAAAACAAAACCAGAAAGTGAATAAAAATAAAGTCAGAAAGAATACTAAATGTTATCAAATTGCATTCTGATTGCTAACAGACATGCATAGGGATTTAGGTTTTTGCTACTTTCTGAATGACTGTGACACATTTTAACAAGTAGCAGAGGATATGCAAAAAGGGATAAATTAGTTGCGCGGAATTAAGTGAAAATTAAGCAACTTCATTATTTTCGTGCGTCACTTATAATTGCTTTAAAGTATTATTTGTTTAATGCTAAGTGAATAACAGCGCTGAGAATTTTACTTTGGATTTCCAAATTTAGTTACGACTATATTTTACCAGCTCTCTACAGAAATATGCATAGCTGTGTGAAACATAGTGAATGATATAATCATAAGCTTGTGACTTAAGAATCTCTTTTAAAATGTTTTGGTTCACATAGCATTTACTGAAATACTTTAAATTTTTAAAATGGAAAATAACCTGATTGGCTGTCATCAGATTCATCATCTTCCTCATCTTCCTCATCTTCTTCCTCATCATCTTCCTCTTCGTCTTCATTTGAATCTTCAGAATCTTTACTACTGGGAATGTCTGAATCTGTTCCTCTAAACTGTTCCACTAAAGATTTTGCAGGATGAGAGTGATGTTGTGTTTTTACTGGGTTTGCATTATTGCTAACTGCTTTTTCCTTCCCTTGACTATGGAGTATGGGAGAGGCAGATGGCATTGCAGCTGTTTGATTGCCAGGGGTCCTTCTTCCACTTGTACTCAAATTTACAGGTGAGGAAAAAGGGGTACTACTGGCAGTAGCAATGTTCTCATTAATCTTACTCTGCATTTTAGTTTTGGTAGTAAGTGCTAGAGGAGCTTCTTGAATGACACTTTGAATAACTCCATTTGGTTGGTGATTACCTAAAAGTGCATTTGTCAAGAATGGATTAGGGTGGTTGTTTTCTAGTGTTTGTTTTGGATGTGCTGGTGAACTAGAGGTTCCTTTAGGATTTGACAAAGCTGCAATAACCTTCTTCAGGCTCTTGGAGGACTCCTGTTTCTTTAACTGTGCTGGAAATGTCTGTTTATATTGTTCCTGTTGAAACATAAGTTAAAAGAAGAAATCAACAATAAGAACGACGACTGCCTGCAGTATCTGACAACTGCTTATACCCAAATTTAAATCATGATTACATGTGCTGTAAAAGTAGTGGCTGTGAAGACTGCTGGTTGCCGAACCTTGGCTAGACATAATATATTAAAATTCAATTAGTCTTACCCTCTTACATATGCTTACTGACTGTCCCCCTCTCTTTACTATTGCTCCCATTTTTTCAATAATCCAAGCTTGAAACTCTAAAATTGTCCTTCACTTTTCTCCAACTCAGTCATATTACTATGTCTTTGGATTCTTTCATTAAAATATTGCTCTAACTTAAGCCATACCATTTCTTCCCACCCAACTCAATATATGCTTTACACAAATGTCAATTAAATCTTAATATTATATATTAGTTCCTCAATCAAAAGCTTTAGTGCCTCCTCCACCATTGCCAACTTTAGAAAGTAAATACTTTTCATATAAAGTGCATACCTTTCTAGTCTAACCTGTCACGCCCTGTGCATGATATACTTTCACTACCTCCACATTTTGCTCTATTTTCTCTACATGAAGCATCCTCCTTTTATAAATCTTAAGCTGATGAAATGCTGTTCATTCTTCAAAATTCAACCAAGCAGCTTTCCATGCTTGTCTCAGCCAGAGCACGTATGCCTCTATCCTTTGAGCACCTTGACCTCCTTATATTCTGTCCTGTACCACCTACAGTCAATGTGATATGAAGCTGATGGAAATGCTGGCTCAACATTCTGTGGGGCCAATTTTAGGGTGCCTTCAGCATATTAGCATTGGAAAGAGTGTAATAAAAGTTCAGAAAAATTATCCTTAGGAAAAGTTAATTTGTAAACCACTAAGCCTTAAAATTTACATCTGTAAAAGAGGAACAAAAAATTATTTGGCTAACAGAATTGTCTTGAACAGAGTAAAATCATGGATTTTATTTATTAAAATGATATGCAAATATAAACTGAAGTAGGATGATTAAAGAATTTTAAGTTATAGATACAGAAGATAAAATTCTGTAATGAAAATGGTTGCCTTGAAATTAAAATCAGCAGTGCTCTCAGCATTGGACCTGGCCTCTTAAAAATCAAGACAGCAAAGATTTGTGGTGGGCATTTTACAGGGATAAATGCAGATGGAATGCCATACAAAATGACTTATGAAATATTTTAAAGCACCAGTACTAATTAGCAGCACACAATTCCTACATAAACTTCTTTAGCTTATTAACATCTTCACTGTATTAATTTAGAAAATTAAATTATTAATTCTTTGTAAACAAAGACTATCACATGATATCTGCACCCAAGGCATTGCCCCATAATTAGTCAATATTTAATTAGTGAATAAAATATGGAAAATTACAGCAAATAATTGCATTTGCCTTTTGAAAATAATTTTATAGCAAAATTTTAATATTAATATACTTTAACATACTTAATTTTAGTTAATACTTATATGATACTAGAGGCCCAGTGCATGAAATCGTTCACAGGTAGGGTCCCTAGCAGATGCCGGCTGCCAGCCAGGGCCTCCCTTCCCCCAGCTGCCTGCCACTGGCGCCGGCTGGGGCCTCCTTTCCACGGTTGGCCAGCTGAACCCACCCCTTGGTCGAACTCCTGGTCAAACTCCAGGTCAAGGGGACAATTTGCATATTAGACTTTTATTATATAGGACAACTATGCATACCACAGTATATTGTATATGTATAATGTATTTAAACTTCATATTTACATTTACTGATTTAAATTTTCAGCAGAAAAACTTGTATTTTCATTTCCTAGAGCACAATTATGTCACATAATCATTTTGTGCTTTTTTACAGGTAGTAAATTTTCCCTGTAAATATATAGGATCAAAACAGTCATAAAAACAAAAACTTTCCCTTTAGTTTTATATTTTGTATTTTAATTTTCTGAAATTGATCCTCTCCTGTTCTGAAGAATCTCTTCCCATATATTGACTCTGAAGGTTTTAAAAAATAACCAAAGATATCCATTTTTATATCCAAGAATAATATCAGTTACTCTTTTACAGAAAACACGCTCTCATTTTTTATTTGAGGGTGGAACATAAAAAGTAGGGGAGAAAATTGAAACCTATATAGTAGCAAATGTCTTTCTGCTTAAGATATCCACTTGGATGACAGGAGTATAGGAAGAGATGGGTATGAAGAAGCTCTCATCTATCTCCAAGCTCTTGCTCCCAGGACTCAACCAGAGTCTCTGAAGACTACAGAAAAACCCTCTAGGCAAAACTGATCAAGAAAATTGATTCCTGGTCTATATATCCAATTAATGTATATTGATTTTAATTAAATGTCTACAGTGAAACAATTGAGACTATCATAGGACATAAAATAAAATTATTTATATTAGATTGCATGTAAAGAAAAAGAGTTGGTATAAGGGAAGTATTTATAAAATGCCCTAAATACTAGTTACCAAGAACAAGTAGATGAAGTCATTTAGAATTAAGTCTAATGTGAATATCCATTCACATAAAATATTTCACATTAACCACCATTATTTCAAAAACAATAAATTATTTCATCTTAATCATGTGCTTTGAAATCAGAATGGTCTTTGTTTAAGACATTTCTGCTCTTAAATTGTTATGTGATGTTGAAAAGTGGCTTAATCTCTCTGAGCCTTAATATCTTTATTTCACATGGTTTTGTAAGGATTACATGAGATCATATGTGTCGAAAGCCTAGCTTGGCTACATCTATTAAGCAAATACGTAATAAGTGATTTTCTAACAGGCAATCATATAAAGTTCTTTAAATAAGAAACTCTTTGAAAAAAATTAAGAAACCTTTCATAATGCAAATATTTCTTGATGTTATTTGGTAAATTCATTTATCTTAAATGGAATATACATTAATGAGAATTAAAATAGCCTCCAAAATGTAATTTTTAATTTGCTTAATTTACTCATGGAAAGTCAATAACGTGATGACAATAATAATACGTTGTTATGATTGAATGGTGCATTACAAATTATCACGTGCATAGTATTATGATACCATTGTCATTCCCTTTAATCAATGGTTCTCAAATCTGGCAATCTGAATCACCTGGGAAATATTTTGGACATGTAATACCTTAATCTCAAGACAAGAGAACCTGATTTAATTGTTCTGGGTGGTATTTCCTTTTTAAAGCTTCCTAGGCGATTCTAATGTACACCTGAGAATTACTTGTTTACATTCTCAAAAAAACCTGATTTGTTCAAGTCATTTATGTTTGACCCTGTTCTTGATGTAAAACAAGAGTCAATGGACTAGAACATTGTGACTTTTTAAAGAAAGGCAGAGTATCATAGTGGTTAAGAAAATAACTCTAGTGCCATACTCCTAGGTTTGAATTCTAATGCCATCACTAACTAGCAGTGTGATCTTGGGAAAGATAAAGTTCTATGTGTCTCAATTTGATCATCTTTTACTGGTCATAACAACATCAGTAGCACTAATAGATATTAGTATTCAATGAATAAGGGCAAGTTCAGCACTGAAAACAATGGCTGGCAAACAGTACATGCTCTGTGAGTGCTAGCTAATATTTAGGATGTGTAATGATAATTTTTATAATCAAACCAGTGTTTAAACAAAATAATATTTTTCCTCCACTCTGAGCTCATTCTAAAATGTAAAGTATTGACCATTTAATTACTAGAATTTTACTGAACATATGGATGTAGACTACATAGTAAATAAATTCAAAGGAAGAAAAACAAGTTGAAAAAATTTCTCTGATGAGTGGTTCTGGTGTTTGGGTAAAAAGAATTACTCAAAATATTTTGTATTTGATATAATTCATTAAGAATGGCAAAGGAAAATGAGTCTTTATAAAGAATTTTAACACTTAAAATTTCTAAATTATAGAATTATAAAGGTAAATGACTCAAGAATTCATTTCTTTAAAAATATATTGATATTAGAAGGACATTATATTTTAAACAAAAGTGATCATGAAGTATATCTTATTCAAGCATATTTCTCTCCTTAATGTTATATCATTAACCCAGGGGGAAATGATTGATTGTGTTGCCAAAAATATATTAAGCAGATGTATATACAAATATAAAATCAGAGAAATTTAGTTTGCTGATGTGCATATTTGATTCCTGGTGACTAGAAAAAGTATAAAAATAAGAGAAGAATTTAATTTAAAACCTGCATATTATAAGATTATATAAAAGCTTTTTTCCTAATAATAAAATCATTCTATAAGTAATTTTTAACTCACCCGTTTAGATCGCAATTCACTGGTCAAAAGACTAGATTCTTCAGAGGTATTTTTATTCCCTGCTTTAAGTACATCAGGAGAAGGAACTATGAGTTTCATATAAGTTTCCTTTTTGGCTTGATTTACCAAAGATAGAGGTTTCACATTGGACACCAATCCCGTAGACTGTATTACACTTGTGTGTTTGGTCACAGATTCCTCCTTTGCCTGAGAGCTTTGGAAAATAAATGGAAGCTGCTGTGACAAAACCTGAGGCTGCTTCTGCTGGGATTGGAATGATGAGTGGGTCTGGGATTCAGACACAAGAGGTAATGGCTGGTGTATTCTTTTTTCCTGGGCTTTTTCGGTTGCTTTCTGTCCATCTGCTTTTGGGTCTGAAATACCATGTAATAGCACCTGTAAATTAAAGTTAAAAGGCAGAGCTTAACATCTATTAAAAGAAAGAACACCAAGCAGGGAAAAAAGGAACTTTAAAAAGTGTTCCTAGTGACCTGTGATAGATATCTACAGCGCAGGAGAAATACAGTTAATATCTCTTTAAAATATTTCTCCATCTCCTATTCTGTCTTTTGCAAAACTAAGAATTTGCCCTGGCTGGTATCTCAGTTGGTTAGAGCATCATCCCGATACACCAAGGCTGCAGGTTCAATCCCCAGTCAGGGCACATATAAGAAATCAACCAATGAATGCATAAGTGAAACAATAAATCAATGTTTCTCTCTGTGTATGTTTCTCTCTCTCCTCTCTGTCCCTCCTTTCTCTCTTGCTAAAATCAATTTTTTATAAAAGTAAGAACTAAAGGCAATGAGTCAGGATAAATAAGTTAATCCCTAAATATAAATACTGTGTAGATAAGGCCAAGGGAACTATTTATACCTGGTTGTTATTTTTATGTTGTGCTTCACTCTCTGAATCAGAATCATCATCTTCAGTTTCTTCAATACTTTGATCTTCTTCTTCTTCATCTTCCTCTAGGTCATCTGAATCACTACTACTAATGCCTTCACTTGAGGTGTCTGATGATGTGCCTGAATCACTATCACTGTTGCTAGAACTTTCCATAGCTTTCTTCCTTGGTTTCTGGATAAAAACAAGATTTTTAGAAAAATTAAAGTTTCAAATGATATTTTCAATCTCAAAATGTCACTTTAGGAAATAAGGAAAACTCACATGTTGTAAGGGTAATTATTCAACAAACTAATCAAATTAACTTATGTGACAGGAATTCTCCAATAAAATATATAAGCTCTGACATGTACAGGGTATGGGAAATCTCAATATAGTATATTATAAAATACAAGAATAATTTACAAAATAATAATTCCAATTATAAGAGTTATATACATGGAAGTTCTATAATTAGCTTTAGTCTTCTTTTTTTATGCAGATAGTGAGTTAGTAGCCAAATATTTACATATAATATGCCAAATACACCTTTCTAGGTGTTGGGCTACAATGATGCTTAAGATAAGAGTAACTGCCTTTGATAAACTTAAATTAAAATTTAAAATTAAAATTCTAGTGGTAATGGTGGTGGTGGTAGACAGATGATTAATATAAAAGCAAATAATTCCATACAGTAATAAGTACTATAGAGAAGATAAGACAGGTAGCAAAGGACTTACAAGCTGCTTTAATTAAGGTCAAATTTTAGTTTTTCATATTTCACATAAAAAAGAAAAATATGATAAAGATTAATTTCTGGAACACATGATTCTATAGGAAAAAGGAAATCTAAAGTTGGAAGAAAGGAACATTAGGTCATAGAAAAGGAAAGTTTGGGGTTTAAAGAATAGACAATAGTAGTGGATAAAAAGAGGAAAAATCATGACATAAATTATAACTAAATAACTATATAACTTTGGAAAAGTTAAAATTCTGTCAACAGGAAGACTGAAAGGAGAAATACTGAAATGATAGAGCAATAAGATTGAGTACAATCCAAAGTTACTTAGGAATATTTCAATAGTGTTTGCTGATAAAGAACAAAATATAGAAAAGGTAATCAACCAATTACAAAAGCTATGGCCTTACGAATAGGAAAGCTATGGTCTTAATAGAAATAGGGCCTTTCATGACTACTGGGCCTGGTGAAGGAAAGATAATCATATATCTCTTTACCAAGAAGTCAAGTTTAAGCAATAGTTACAGATTGCAAATCTATACTTTTCCTTCGTGCCTTTGAAATTTGATTCAAATCGAGTAAAATACATAGAAGTGAGGAGGTTCACTCCTGCTGTTTTATTTCGCTTTCAATGGTACTGTAACTGATCCAAACTAGCAACTGCAATGCTTCCCCCAGAGACACACCTTCAATAAGCCAACTAACAGTTACCACCATTCCCTGAGCTATCTTCTCTCATAGTAAAGCAGTGATGTGTCTTGATGTCAGCCTCTTTGGATTCATATTGTTTGGGATTCTCTGCACTTCCTGCATTTAATTGCCAGCAGGAAACCAAGATGGCGGCATAGGTTAACGTCGGAGTTTGCTGCCTCGAACAACCACTTCAAAAATACAACTAAAAGACGGAACGGACATCATCCGGAACCACAGGAAGGCTGGCTGAGTGGAAGTTCTACAACTAGGAGGAACCGAGAATCAGAGGAGGCGCAGTGCTGAAGTAAAATACTAAGGTGCGGAGTGCGTGCAGCGCGGGCTGGTGGCTGAGGGCGCGGTTGACTGTTTCAATCCGGAGGGAGCCTCAGACTCTGAGCTCCAGATCCGGGCGAGTCTCTAGGGACCCAGACTCAATCGGGAGAACCGGGACTGTCTGGCTACGGTCCCTCCGAGGTTTGCAGCGGTTGCTAGGACAGAGAGGCAGAGCCCCTGGGGACGGACTGAGAGCAGCCATAACTGCTCCCTCCTCCGCCCTGTTGATCCCGTGGGACCCGCCCCGCCCAAGCCCTGCACAGAGCCATTTGCCGGATAGCCTCAGGCAAAGGCTAGATTAGCACCTCCCTAGAGGACAGAAGTTCTTCCACTGCAGACACAGCTGATTATCACAGCCAGTCAGCCTGGAGGTCAAATCCCTCTAGTATTAACTACAACAATCAAGGCTTAACTACAACAAGACTGCGCACAAAGACCACTAGGGGGCGTACCAAGAAAGCGTAAAAAATGTGGAGACAAAGAAACAGGACAAAACTATCAAGGGAGGATATTGAGTTCAGAACCACACTTTTGAGGTCTCTCAAGAGGCTTCTAGAGTCTGTCGATAAACTTGATGAGATGTACAGGAAATCTAATGAGACCCTCAATGGTGTGATAAAGGACCATCTAGAAAGTAAGCATACACTGACTGAAATAAAAAATATTATACAGACTCCCAACAGCAGACCAGAGGAGCGCAAGAATCAAGTCAAAGATTTGAAATTCGAAGAAGCGAGAAACACCCAACCGGAAAAGCAAAATGAAAA